GGGACAAGAATAGCTCATCAGGGCTTGACACGAGCCAAGGTGAGAGTGAAAGATGTCAGCGGCAAAGAGATTGAGATCATCGAGGAATTTGTCCTTGGAAACGTTCAACACCCCATTATTTGTGCAGGCAGGTTACTTCGAAAAGGATGGAGCATACAGTCGAAAGAAGACAGCCTGCAACTTTGCCACACCGAGAGAGACATCACAATTCCCATCAGCAATGAACGGCATTCTTTGCAGTTCGAAGCCAGGATCTGTGGGATAGAGCAGAAGAATGACAAAGAGGTTGAAGAGAAGAGGGTGATGGTGCTTCGAGGCTACAGCCGCTATGTGGAGGAACTGGAACTCGTTCCGGGTTGGCATAGATTGCCAAATGGAGTGATAGCCCACAGTGATCCAGTGGCTATCTATATGGTAGACCCCAGTCAGAGCATTGAGGGCGATTGGAAAGCAAGGATGACACTGATGAAAGACAAAGATGGTCTTTGGAGGCAAGTTGAGAACACGGAGAACTACAAGGAGCAAGGTGAGAAGGCCTTCAGGAAACTGAGCACAGATAGGAATCCTGAAAGGATGCTGACGTTCTTCTCGCCCCACAAGCTTCTGGACTATTGGGCTCCAAACTCAGAAGCGCCGGTTCACCCGTATCCTGAACCGACAGGTGAGATGCACATCGAGTGGTCAGAGGAAGAAGAGCAAGAGAGAGAGGAGGAGCTTGAGGAGCAAGTTGAAGCTCAGGACATCGAGAAGAGGTATGTCCGTGAGAGAGGAGATGAGGTCGAGCTGGACGAGGTGCTTTACAATGAGAAAAGCACAGTGAAAGAACTGCAGTTGGCATGCAAAGAAAGAGGGTTGGCTTGCACCGGGAGCAAGAAGAGGTTGCTCTCGAGGCTCATTGGCTTCAAGGTCGACATCGAGGACAAGTTCCAACTGAATATTGCAAGCAAATTGTTCAGGGAACAGCAGCGCACCCCAATGACTCTGGGGCAACCGAAGCTACCCTCTTTGGCTGAGCAAGAACTCCACTTCGTGACGCATTGGCCCTATGCGGCCTGGTGTCAGTCCTGCATGGCATCAAGAGCGAAAGAGGACAAGCACATGCCGCAAGAAGGAAAGCCTGACCTTGGAACTGCAGTCATCCAGCTAGACTTTACGTATACGTATACAGGTCCTGAAGGTCGAATGGAGGAACCAATGCAAGGAAGAGTTCAAGAAAGACAGGACCAGTTCGGCACGTGTTTGATTATGGCTTCAACAGAAACCAAGGCGATCCACGTAGTGCCAGTGCCCAGCAAAGGCACCGCCAGCCTGAAGCAAGTGACTGAAGAGGTGATCCGTTTTTCGCTGGAGAACGCAGGAAGAGACAAATGCATCTTCCAAGCGGATTCTGAGAGGGCAACTCGCCAGATCCTGAGGTCTGTTCAGCAAGTGAGAAAGGTGATGGGATTGCAGACCGAAATCCGCCTGACAGGAGCAGGACAACATGCTTCGAATGGCTTGCTGTCCAGACAGTGAGGAGGCTGGCAAATTGTTTGAGGTCATTTGCAGAAGAACGAGCACGACTATCCATCTTGGGGGACAACCGCCTGTACCCATGGTCCTTCAAGCATGCATCGTTCTTGATCAACAGATACCGTGTGCTGGAAGGTGTTGGAAGAACGAGCTATGAGCTTGCCACAGGACATGAGTATAGAGGAAAATTGGCGCTCTTCGGTGAGGTGGTCGTGTACAAAAGAATGATCAAGCACAAAGGATCAAAGGTGTTTGAACAGGGCATTTGGTGCGGAAAACACTCCTTCAATGACTGCCACATCGTGCTGACGCCAGAAGGAGCATGTGAAGCAAGGACAATCCGAAGATTGGCTCCAGAACAGGCTTTTGATGGACCAGCCATCATCACGTGCAGAGGATTGCCATGGGCCTACTCACCTCAGGGCATTCTCATGAAGCATGGAGGCCAAGTTCAGAAGTACCGACAACCGACATTGGAGGCAGAGATTCAACCAGAAGAGCTTGACAACATAGCTCAGACGGTGGCTGCAGGGTTGGTCACACCAGCCCCAGGCCTTCATACTGGTCAAGGTCAACAAGGAAGTGGCATGGCTGCACCAACAACACCTGCACTGCCGAATCCATCGACGAAGAGGCAGCATGAGGAGATGGAAGATGAGAAGGTCATGAAAAGACAAGACACCACCGAATCACCGAGGAAGTCAGCAGAGAAGAGAGAGGCTGCAGAGGTGGAAGAAGAAGCAGAGAAGAGGCAGAAGGCAGGAGAGAGCAGTGAAGGAAAGTCTGAAGGTGTGGAAGTGCAAATGGACGAGGAGAAGGATGCAAATAGGCCAACAAGACCAGCTGAACATGAGGCCGAAGGTTCACCCAGTGGAAAGATCGCAAAGCTGTATCCACCTCATTATGCTGGCATCCAAAGTGTTGAAGCACATGGAGATGAGGAGTTGGGACTGGAGCACATTCCAGAAGAGATGAACGAGGAGATGCAGTACAGTTATGGAGGTGAAGAAGATGGCGATCCGCCAGAAGTCACTCAAGAAGAGTTGGACGCTTTGGACAAAGAAGCAACAAGGGTGGAGATTGAAAGAACGCTGAAGATTCCGGCCATGGAGGAGTCAACAAGTGAGGAGGTGAGAGCATGTTCAGGGTACACCATCTCCACAAGATTGGTGTACACATGGAAGCACAGAGTGGAGCAAGGAGGATGGTTTCGACGAGCAAGACTTGTCGCAAGACAATTCAAGGCAAGTGTGGAAGCAGACCAGACATTTGCCCCTACATCGCTCATGATCATACCCAAGATGATGATCCACGTGCTTCTGAACGTTTGTGCAGGGTTTACAGCAATGACCCTTGACATCAAGGACGCGTTCCTCATGGCTGATCAACCAGCTGAAGAGAAGGCATTCATCAAGATTGATGACAAAGTGTTCCGGCTTTTGAGGTGCCTCCCCGGACAGAGAACAGCAGCATCACAATGGTTCCAAATGTTCTCACAAGCTTGCAAAGAGTTCAAGATGGAGCAAGACATGATGCAGCCCACACTGTTCATGAGGCAAGGAAACATGTACCTAACAGTGCATGTGGATGATGTTTTCATGGTGGGAACGCCTCAGATCCTTCAGGAGTTTGTGATGTTCTTGAAGAATGTGAAGAAGTGGAAGGTAGAGGCGAAGGGGCCGTTCACTCCAGGAGAGAAGTTCCTATATCTCAAGAGACAATTCAAGATCACAGAAGATCACTGCGACATCAGATGTGATAGGAAGCAGTACTATGGGCTTGAGAAGGAACTGGACTTATTTTGCAGAGCATATCGCAAGACGCCCCTTGACCAGAACTTCACAAAGAAGGACGACTCCCCACTCTTGGAAGCAGAAGAGGTGACAAAATTCAGGAGCATTGTTGGAAGGTTGATGTATATGGCAAGCGAGCGGCCAGATGCACAGTTTGGAATACAGTGTTTGGCCAGAAAGATGTCTGCACCGACAAAACAAGCTCTGAAGAACGCATGGCACCTATGCTCATACCTCCAAGGAACCATCGACTATGGTGTGAGGCTTTCGAGAAGAGAGAAAGGAAGGTCAGTGCTGGATACCAGAGAAGATGAGGAGACCAACAGTGGTCCTGCACATTTGGTGGAAGTGCTCACGGATGCAGATTATGCAGGAAACAGAGATGACAGAAAGAGCACTACATCGTTTCAGGTGTACATCGATGGGAACCTCATCGAAAGCCGAGTCAGGACACAGAAGGCCATAGCATTGTCCTCAGGAGAAAGTGAATTCGTAGCTGTGGTGGCAGGATGTTCCGATGGAACGCTGATCAAGCATTTGCTCAACAAGATGACCGGAGAAAGTTGTCAAATGAAGGTGAGGACAGACAGCTCGGCTGCCCGGTCCATGGTGCAACGCCAGGGCATTGGGCGTGTGAGGCACCTGGATGCTTCATTGCTGTGGGTTCAACAAAAGGAGAGTGAGAGAGCCTTCAGCATAGCAGCCGTCCCGTCAGAGTTGAACAGTGCTGATATTGGCACAAAGAGTTTGACGAGAAAGAGATTGCTTGGCCTACTCTACATGATGAAGTTTGTGGACGCAGTTGGCGACAGAGTGGGCACTGAGGAGTATGGAGACCTCGAGCACCAGTACCAGATCAAGAAAGGGGCAAAGAAGATGATGAAGTCAAAGGATATGCGCATTGGCCTATTGCTGCTGATGGCAAACATGAGGTCAGTGGCTGGAAGCCAAGTCACGACAGAAGAAAAGGCCGGTGCTGATTATGGATGGTGGGCACTAGTTTTCTGTGCCGCGATCGGAGCCTTGAGCACATTGAGTTGGCTGCGGATCTTCATGATCGAAGGTCTCTACGGCACGCTGGGTCGGATGATCAGGTATGAGACCTCAGCAAGGCAGGAGACCACAAGCCAGAAGTGCGACCAACAGACTCAAGCAAATGAGTGGATCGACTCCTACATCTGGCAACAGTATGAGGAAGAGAAAGAAGAAATGGAGGAAAAGATGAACAACATGCAAGCTGCATTGCTGGAAGCAGAAGAGATGATGGGTCATTTGCAAGAAGACTTGAAAGAGGTTCGACGTCAGCGAGATGACAACCTCGCCATGTTTCTGAAAAGCCAGCAGCAGCAGATCAAGATCGAGAAGAAGATTGGAAATCTTCGAAAGGCGCCAAGTGGAAATGTCATCCACTTTGATGCAAGATGCATCCACTGGCAAAAGGCCAGAAGCGCCACTTTCTGTAGTGTGTGCCAAGACGAAGGGGCCGTGTTAGAAATCCATGAAACGGCACAAGGTTCACACTCAGGTCAATCGTCTTGACACATTTACGCCGTGAACACGAAGGCTCAATTTGCAGCTGAAAATAGTGTCTGCGCTACTTTGCACATTTGTTACGCATCATTGGCAAACAGTATACATGTTGGCAAAAGTCTGTTTGTAACTGGTATGGCGGAGAAGTCACTTGTTTGCTTGCAGGCCAAAGCCGACATGCAAGTGGTAAGGTCTCCGACAGACGTGTCGGAGGCACTGACTGTCACTAACAGTTCAGCCTTCATAGTTTGTGAATGACAAAGTTGTTTGTTATATATTTTGTCTTTGGACCGTGTGTTTAGCTGAATGCATTACGCAGGTGGACATGCTGCTGGCAGAGCCACCAGAGGCAACACCGGCCATTTTTGAACACTCAAAGTAGTTCACAAAATGTACGGTGTGTAGGGGTGTGATACCTTAGCCGGGGCTAAGCGTCTGACGCCGCTTCTTTGTATATACATCCAATCACTAGCAGCTTCATGTGCACAGGCGTTGGTACAGACAGAGGTGGAAAAACTACACTCAGAGCTCTCTGAGGCCATTGCGGAGCAGCTTGCTATGTCCAATTTTTCATTATTTTGCACCACAAGGCTGTTCATGTCCGAACCAATTTGGTATTGTTCATTCCTTCTGCTAAAGAAATAATTTTTTGAGGGGCGTGCAAGCTTAAGAAGAGTTTAAACTATTATCCGATGAGAAGTAAAACGGGGATGCAAACTCTGCTTTCAACATGTTCGACCAAGTTCGGTGCTCCTTGTATAACCCTTTATCAGGCAGAGATGCCAGCTCAGAAGCCAGCAACAGAGTCGCCTGAGGCTTGAACGCTTTAGCATTTGTTATGCACCATTGGTATACAGTATACATGTTGGCAAAAGTCTTTTTGTAACTGGTATGGCGGAGAACTCACTTGTTTGTTTGCAGGTAAAAGCCGACATGCAAGTGGTAAGGTCTCCGACAGACGTGTCGGAGGCACTGACTGTCACTAACAGTTCAGCCTTCATAGTTTGTGAATGACAAAGTTGTTTGTTATATATTTTGTCTTTAGACCGTGTGTTTTGCTGAATGCATTACACAGGTGGACATGCCGCTGGCAGAGCCACCAGAGGCAACACCGGCCATTTTTGAGCACTCAAAGTATTTCACAAAATGTACTGTGTGTAGGGGTGTGATATCTTAGCCGGGGCTAAGCGTCTGACGCCACTTCTTTGTATATACATCCAATCACTAGCAAGCTTCATGTGCACAGGCGTTGGTACCGACAGAGGTGGAAGAACTACACTCAGAGCTCTCTGAGGCCATTGCGGAGCAGCTTGCTATATCTCATTTTGTCGGAACCGATTTGGTTTTGTTCATTCCTTCTGCTAAAGAAGTAACCTATATCAGGGCGTGCATGCTTAAGATGAGTTTAAACTATTATCCGATGAGAAGTAAAACGAGGATGCAAACTCTGCTTTCAACATGTTCGACCAAGTTCGGTGCTCCTTGTATAACCCTTTATCAGGCAGAGATGCCAGCTCAGAAGCCAGCAACAGAGTCGCCTGAGGCTTGAACGCTTTAGCATTTGTTATGCACCATTGGTATACAGTATACATGTTGGCAAAAGTCTTTTTGTAACTGGTATGGCGGAGAAGTCACTTGTTTGTTTGCATGCTTGCAGCTTGAGGCAGTATTTGTTTTGCACCTGGAAAGGGCAATCAATATCCAATCTTGCGACCTTGTATGCTTTCAATCAGGTTCTTTGCTTAGCGGGGTTGTTTCATTGTATATAGGAAACGCCCAAGTGTGTCCAATTGGGCAGAGGCCTTTCGAGCTTGTGCGCGCATGTTTACTGCTGCTGGTTGTGGATGACAGAATGCAGGCGGACATTCACTTTGAGAAGCAGTCAGCCGAGTCCAGCAAGGCATGGGCAGCGAGACACAGAATAGTCACCCGTGGGACCTGTTTGGCTCTTTTGCCTCCATTTCCTAATTTAACTGATGTTCAGAGTCTACAACTCGAAGCTTTCGCGGTGACATTTGGGGAGCTGGGCACGATCGATGTCTGAAACTTTATACTCACACACTATACACTGGTGTGTGCTCAACTAAGCGGTGCGGGGGCACAGTTCAGGTAGTCTGAAAGGAGAGCCAGTCAATGTGTATGGTGAAATATGTTGGTTGTTTGGATGCAACAAAGCTTTGTAGCGCGTTTCAAAGCAAACGTGTGTCACTTGACATATAATGGCATCGGCCTTGTTTGTAAGGTAGATATTTGCTTTATGAGATGCGTTTGTGCCCATGTAAGCGGGTGTGTTAAGGCAGGTTTGCGGTCCTCATTTTGTCTTATGGGGAGCAGGGATACCGCAACATTGGTTTTTGCTTCAATGATGCTGAAGGAAACTATGTAAATCAAAAGAATGCGAAAAGAAGTCATAAAAAGGATGACAAAGTATTATCACATCCCCAAAAATTTTTTGCCACCACTGAAAGCAGCAAAGTAGTCTTCAAGAGAGATGTTCTTTGCAAGGGTGGTGCCTTTTGCTTGATGAACAATGATTCCATGCGATCTCCTCGTGTTGTGTCCAAGAATGCGAGCGAGTCTTAGTCTTAAGTCTTATATAAGCTTTAAGCGTTGGCATTTCAGTTCATGAACAGGGGCCGTAACAGCACAAGCTACGCAAACGTCTCAGCGAAGTACAAAAAAAGTTTGCAAACACCATTGAACGTGTCAGTCGGCTTGCTGGATCAGGCATGACTGCTGATGCACGTTTGTCATGCAATGTGTGTGTGTGTCACCCTTGGAATCATAGGGATGCTTTCGCAGTTGTTC